ACGAGTGGGGGACAGAAAAGCTTCTTACAGAAGACGTTACAGGTCTGTGAGAGCCAGAGATTTTCCTTGTTTGAGGTGACCAAATACTTATTTTCCACCCTGATTTACGAATAAATTCTTTACAAATCCTACCATGTGGATTCATGGATTTTTTTTTCACATTCTGTCTCTCACAGTTGAAGTGTACCTCTGGTGCAAATTACTGACCTCTGTCATCATTTTAAGTGGGGGAACTTGCACAATCGGTGGCTGACTAAATACTTTTTTGCCCCACTGTACATAATTCATTTTAAAAGCACATTTTATATTTACTCATGCTATCTTTGTCTAGAATAAAAATTGGATTGATGATCTGAAACATGGAAATGTGATGAATCTCCAAAAAATTTGAAATTAGCAAGGAGGTAAATACTTTTTGACAGCAGTATGAACAGATAGATGAAGTTGCTAACCTCAAGAAATCCTCCCAGTGGCTAGAAAAGACTTATTTAAAAGACACTACAGATCCAGTGATCACGGTAGCACAAGAACAGCACCACATCCATAGGGGCAGAAGTCTACCACAGCTGACCTCTATCTTGGAGAACAACCACTACACACTGTCCATGTCAGTTTTGATAAGCTAGCAAAGTTTCATTTGTTTTCAGCTTCCAGACTTTACTTAGTTTGTAATTGAAGTATAAACAGGGCACCAACTCTGAGAAAAAAAGACTATGGAACCCAATGACAGGTTCATCCATCCATCTTCTTCTGCTTATCTGAGGACGGGTCGCGGGAGCAGCAGCCTAAGCAGCTTGTCCGGGGGAACACCATGCTTTCCCAGGCCAGCCAAGAGATATAATCTCTCCAGCGTGTCCTGGGTCTGCCCCGGGGCCTCCTCCCAGTGGGACATGCCCAGAACACCTCACCCAGGAGGCGCCCAGGGTCCTTGTCAGATGCCCGAACCACCTCACTGGCTCCTTTCGATGTGGAGGAGCAGCGGCTCTACTCTGAGCCCTCCCGGATGGCTGAACTACTATCTCTAAGGGAGAGGCCAGCCACCCTTCGGAGGAAGCCCATTTCTACTGAACCCATCCCTGACCCGGAGTGGGCTCTCCACCCTTTTCTGGCCCAATGAAAGGTGCTATATGCACTGATGTGGACACTAAGTCAACATCAGTGCGATATCATCAGCAGAAGACAGCTACGATCAAAGCTGGAGATTCAAAGGCAACAGCACAGTGAAAACAATAGTGAGAATAATGGACAAACATTCTCTATACACACACACACACACACACACACAACACAAATATATATATATATATATATATATCTAGTATAATACACCTTTAGAGAGATGCAGTTCGATTCCTGCCTGGGGCGTCTGTATCCAGTAAGGGTCCTAAGGCTAGACCCCCTATGCTAAGCGAGCCTACCGCAGACATGAGCGAGACAGATAAATATGAAGGCATGCCGGCTCGGACGTCGCCCGGATCAACAAGGTCCGCGTCAGGTGTTGAGGAACCAGGGCACCCTGACGAAAAGTGGGCTACTGGAACAAGAAGGCATCGGTGGGCAAGAGACGAAAACAGGGCGTTGTTGGAATGCTACTACGCAAGTAACCCCGGCGGAAGGGGCTACATGAATAGGATGACGGACCTATGGATTCTTCGATACCCAACATCCACAATGACGGCGAAACAACTAGTAGCTCAGTGTTCCAACATTCGAAAGAAGGGACTGCTCTCACAGCTAGAGATTGACGAGGTACAACACAAATGCTACGGCAAGGAGGAGTCAGGACGCCAGGTCAGGGGGGAGATATCATCACCCCCACCCGAGATTGGGTACATAGCCCCAAGTGCGATAGGAGAAGGATCGTTGAGTGCGAGAGGAACTGACCTGAAAAATAGGATAATGGCCAAGCTTGAAACCTGGATCCCCCGTAGCCGGTTACCAAGATTACGTGAAGTACCCTCAGAAGGTCTGCTAGATGATGTTAATGCAGCACTACGGGCAATACCTACAACAGATCCGGGCCATCAACACGTACGCCCTGCCCGTGATCAGGTACCCTGCTGGGGTAATAGGCTGGCCAAAGGAGGAGATAGAAGCCACTGACATAAAGACAAGAAAGCTCCTTACCATGCATGGAGGGTTTCACCCCAAGTCCAGCACCCTGAGGCTGTACGCTAAGCGGAAGGAAGGGGGCCGGGGACTGGTGAGTGTCAGCACCACAGTCCAGGATGAGACAAGAACATCCAAGAATACATTGGGAAGATGGCCCCAACTGACCGAGTGCTCAGTGAATACCTCAGGCAGCAGAAACCCAAGAAAGAGGAGGGAGACGAGGAACCATCATGGAAGGACAGGCCCCTGCACGGTATGTACCACCGGCAGATAGAGGAGGTGGCTGATATCCAGAAATCCTACCAGTGGCTGGACAAAGCTGGACTGAAAGACAGCACAGAGGCACTAATCATGGCAGCACAAGAACAAGCTCTGAGTACAAGATCCATAGAGGCTGGGGTCTATCACACCAGGCAAGACCCCAGGTGCAGGCTGTGTAAAGATGCCCCAGAGACAATCCAGCACATAACAGCAGGGTGCAAGATGCTAGCAGGCAAGGCATACATGGAACGCCATAACCAAGTGGCCGGCATAGTGTACAGGAACATCTGTGCCGAGTATAACCTGGAAGTCCCGAGGTCAAAATGGGAGATGCCCCCAAGGGTGGTGGAGAATGACCGAGCTAAGATCCTGTGGGACTTCCAGATACAGACGGACAAAATGGTGGTGGCTAACCAACCGGACATAGTGGTGGTAGACAAACAGAAGAAGACGGCCGTAGTGATCGATGTAGCGGTTCCGAATGACAGCAATATCAGGAAGAAGGAACACGAGAAGCTGGAGAAATACCAAGGGCTCAGAGAAGAGCTCGAGAGGATGTGGAGGGTGAAGGTAACGGTGGTCCCCGTGGTAATCGGAGCACTAGGTGCGGTGACTCCCAAGCTAGGCGAGTGGCTCCAGCAGATCCCGGGAATAACATCGGAGATCTCTGTCCAGAAGAGCGCAGTCCTGGGAACAGCTAAGATACTGCGCAGGACCCTCAAGCTCCCAGGCCTCTGGTAGAGGACCCGAGCTTGAAGGATAAACAGCCCGCAGGGGCGTGCTGGGTGTTTTTTTTTTTTTTATATATCGTATCAGGGGGCGTTGGGGCTTAATAGCATTGTTTCTTCCTCCCCTCAGCAAGTATTGCTAGTCTATCTATCTCAACTTCCTGTTAAGCACACTGCTTTTTGCTGTTTTCCCTCAGAAGCTCAAAATCTAGCGCTTTTCAGTCTGTGTCCAATCTATATCATTTCAGTCTATACCAAGCATAGAACAGCAGTTCCTTCATTACACATAAATTACTATTGTATAGAAAATATTGCATGTTAGTCTATTGCACACTGAAATGTGGATTGCATATAGAAATATATATCATACTGGATACATTTGATTTTGTGTGTATTTTACTGATTTTGTTTTTCGCCATCAGTCTGACTGTGGTGGAAAAGAAGCTGTTGTGGAAGCGTGTTGTGTGTGTGACAGACTGTCCACTCTGCTGCATCTCTGGCTGTATCCTGATTGTTTTGGTGCAAAGAGGGTGTGACCTGAAGCAACACATCATCAGAGACCTGACAATCTCTGATGATGTGTTGTTCTCTTTTCTTACAGCGCTCTGTGTCCACTGATGGAAGATCCGTTCATATAATCCTCTCTGCAGGCTTTATGACTCTCTGGAGAGTTTGTGGCTGTAGTGAGACTCAAAGTAGCCACCAACCAAGAACCCCCAGCTACCTGACAGAGTTTCATTAGTGGAAATGCTTATAGATGTGAACACTGCTCTACGCACCATCCCCACTGGCAGTATCACTGAAATCTTAAGTACCTGGGTATTCCACAGGCCAGTGGGAATGATTCAAAAATACATGAAGTTCCACATTTCATGATGAAAAACAGAGCATCTGTAAATACATCAGAAAGACGGCCCTCAGAGATTGCCTCAGACAGCTGAAGACAAATGGTGATGCTGAACAGGAAGAGGAATTCATGGACATGGACAACCAAGTCCCTGCATGGGATTACAATCAACAGATAGATGAAGTTGCTAAGATCAAGAAATCTGTCATGGTTTGTGTCTCTGTGTCTGAGGAGCGTGTGGGATGCCCCGGTGGCCACCCTCAGGCTGGGCCATCACCTTCACACCTGCATCCCACTCCAGGCGATTACCAGGAGGACTTAGGGGATCATCAGGGGGTCCTTTTGTCCCTCTGTGGGGGGTCACTCCCACTAGGTTTATATCTGGGACTCTCCACCATTTGACCTTAGAACTGAAGAAGCTTCTCGGATGAGAGGTGAAACGTCTTCAAGCAACTTAAAGAAGTCCAGACGCTTTTCTTTGCAAGCTCCTTTGACCACCAGGAGGACTATTTAACTCTGCACAGACGGCTGCTCCACGCCAGTCTGTTAGTCACCCCTCAGTGGTAACTTGGCTCCCCGCAGAGTGTGTATCTAAGTGTTGCTTGAACTGTGTTAATTCTATCTCCATGTGCTCAGGTTACTGTCTGGTGTTTCGTACCTGCCACCTGCCTGCTTGGATCTCTGAGTGCACCACCTCAGAGTCCCACGGTCCGGCTCTGGCCAGATTGTTATAGCCCTGTCTTGTTGTGCCTCTCCCTTCCCCTGTACACGGACCTTTTCCCCTTTGTGTTGCAGCCTCCCAATGACGACTTCCCTGTGTGCTTTGTCCTCCTGGTTTTCTTCAGTTTGGCGATTTCGCCTCCCTTGGTTGTTCCGGGTCACCTTTTTTTAAATAAATAAAACCTGTACTTGCTCACTCTGAAGCGTATTGACTTTTCTTTTGGGTCCCGCTTGTGTGCGCGATCTGCGGTTAATGACACTTATTTGTAATTATGAAGTGTTTCTACTTCTGTACTTCTGAATTACTTTTTAATGGAATCAGACAAACTGACCTTCATTGCAGAGGGAGCCAAAAAATCCAGCGAGACATTTGCAGTGGCCGGTGATGTGGTGGCATGCCCCATCGCTGTGGACACACTGAGGACACATCTGACTGCAACGATGGCCATAGAAGCCAGGAGAACATGCTGTGGAGGAAAAATCCACATTATGGCTCATCATGTGCACTCTGTGATGCTGTGTGTACTGGGAATAGCGTTCTAGGCATTCCCTCGTCCCATGGGTCAGCCTGTTAGCTGTATTAGTTTTGATTTGTTTTTCCTTCCCGCACAGGAAGGACTCATAAGTCTTCCTCTGGCCTTTAATTTGCTTTAATTGACGTAACTCTAATTGCTCTAACTGGCAAGGCAACCCTCTTCCCTCATGCTACAGGATTTTCCTCATTATGATAATTGTGTAAATTGTGAATCAAGAGAGCTTAAATGTATTACTCTGATGCCAAAAGAAGCAGAAGAAATGGTCATACAAACACACTCCATGTACTCACTCTATGAGCATCATCAGACTTGGGCTCGATTTCAAGCAGATGCAACATGAATGAGTTGGAGATATTTTCTTAAACAAAATAAATGAACTTTAAGCTTCAGTTTCACTGGGCCATTACCATGGGAATTTAGACTCTTAATTTCAGAACACCAGCATCACCCATTAAATAAACCACCGTGTACAGGTTAATATGCAGGGTGACACACAGATCCCTAATGTCAGTAAAAATGGCGATATCCTTGTGGTTATTTTCACCCTGACTGAAAACAAGCCTCAATATTGATTTCTGTAAAACTCTGATGTTTTCTCCTCCTCTGAATCTTTACAGAAGAGGTGGAAGTGCCAACATAACCCACAGCATCCCTCTGGCCAGCCACGAGGACTGTTTCTGTTTTCGTAAGACAAATGCTGCGATCATTAAATTTGCTAATTAGTTCTGAAACAAATTTACACAGACTTTATTTCAAAGACCTGCGAAGAAGTTACAAACTGGAATAACAAAGATTATCCAGTAGAAACAGTGCACCAGGTGGCAGCTATCACTTTATTCTAGTGCCGTTAATCTCGTTAAAATGACGTTAACGGCATAACCGCATTAACGCGGTAAATCTCCGTTAGCAAGTTAGCGCCCCGTGCGTGGGACTGCACGGCGTCAACGCGTTAGCAAGGTTCACTCGTTAGCACGTTAGCGCTGTCCAGCCCCATGCACGGGGCGATCTGGGCTAACGTGCTAACAGAGATTTACCGCGTTAATGCAGTTATGCGGTTAACATCATTTTAACGAGATTAACGCTGACAGCAGTACTTTATTCATTTCTCCTTTTTTACTAATTGTATAGGAGTCTTGCTAATAGTACTATTTGTAGTTCCTATTTAAAGCAGAATGTCAGGACTGCAGCTGTGGTCGAGTGAGTACAGTACACGATTGCAGAAACGTGGGTGTGAAAAATAATCCCTTACTTCTTCTGCAGTTGGTGCCCCGGTAGCCTGGAGCGCACACACAGGTGCCGTCCTCTGGAGAACAGGAGCCCCCGTTCTCGCAGGTGCAGCTGTAGGAGCAGTTGGGTCCCCAGCGACCCTCCTCGCACACACTGTCACAATGGACACCTGCACAAAATACACACAAACACACACAATGTAGGCTATAGTAAAGCAAACAGCTTTATTCTGCCGAGCGCTGAGCTATGAGCTCTTAAATAAAGTCAAACTGGTGAAAGGTGAAAAGTGAGACGGCAGGGTGATAAAAAAAAAAAAAAATCAGCAGAGATGAGTAGAGTTCTCACAGGAACTCAGCTAGCAGTTAACATAATGCTGTACTAGCAAACTGTGGGCTGTAGTAAGTAAATCTGGTCACCTTCACTTAATTGATGTCTTCCAATTGGCCCCCGATTGTGATATTTGTGATATCTGTTGATCGATGTAATGTTTAGACACTTATTAAGCATTGGAAATATCAATAAACTGTTATTTAGTTCATTATATTATAATCAGGCTGTCTGCAGGTTTTTGTGTTGTGTGTGTTAGTCTAAAACAAAAAGATGGTAAACTGGTGTGCATGTAAAGGTGATAACTGGCATTATGTTCAACAAAACCAAAAATGCTTTTAATTATTTTGCTGTCTAAATATTCATTTGTGTGTGCACATGTATGAATAAATGTCAGTTTATATGAATAAACACATAAAATCTCACAAATACTACCCAAGACTTTTCCCCCGTCTAATTCTTTGGTAAAGTGTCTCCGTCTTTCATCAGTCTTGCATGTGTGTGTGCGTGTGTCCTGAGGGGCAGCAGTCTGTCTGCACAAAAACTGGTCTGCACAATAGTTCAGAGCCCGTACGGCTCACAGGGGACAGTCTGACGGAATAAAAACAGAGAGTATGTGTAAATACAGTACACGTCTCACTTCAGCCTGCAGCTCATTAGAAACTTTCTTTGACATTTAACATTTATTTCAGACATTATGATGCAATTAATAACATTCTAACATCTAAACTTAACATAAAAAGTAAAGAAATGTTTGTTTGGTCGATTATTTCTTTGTTGTAACAATCCTTCTTTTCAATAGATCGTAGAGTGCTGCTGGAAAGTCAGTTTATTTCCCTTTACATCCCTAAGATCTCTTTAAATAGTAGGGTTGTGTATGTGAATTGCACCCCTGAAAAAACTGCCACCGAATCTTCTCAGCCAATGCCCAACAGCTTATTCTGTTATTGACTCTTGATTTTGAGCTGGTACTGCAGGTGCTGGCTGTCAGGTTCCTGATTGGCCCAGATTAACAGCACCTTTGAGCGCAGACTCAGAGCTGGTGTCTGCTTCAAACATGTCCTGTTTATAATTATATCTATGTACCTCTATCCTTCAACAATGCATTCATATGTAGTAGGGGTGCAACGATATTCGTATCGATATTGAACCGTTCGATACAGTGCTTTCGGTTCGGTACGCATATGTATCGAACAATACAACATTTGTAATTTATTTTATCAACTTTCCTTCTGACGATGCTGTCTGTGTTG